CAGGCACATATTTCACTATTGCTGGCGGTTGAACCCCTTCTTCTTCTTCTCGCTCGGGAGTGGAAAACTTAGGTTCCACTGTTATCTGACTCCTCTTTGTCTGCAACGTCGCCTGAGGAGCCATGAAGCAGCTGCGATGTCTCGTTCCGCTTCAAATGCCGCTGGTACCATAGTCTTGTGAGAATGTACTCTTGCAGCTGAGATATTTCTTTTTGCCTTTCGTCTCTGTATGTTCTTTTGTTTCTCATCACTAAATGAAGAATCAGGATGCCACTCCAAATCAATGGAGGAAATCGATTCATTGTAAGATACATAGTTAATTGACTGTGTAGTTATCATCATCTCCACTTCCGTGAAAGTTCCAATGCTCCCCTCAATATATCAGACAAGTTTGCCTACATATAGCATCCACATTTCTAACTCAAATTTAAATATGATTCGATTCATCAAACTTGTGGAAACAGATAGTAATAGTACATGGTGGGACTCTTCGATACAATAACCAAATGTCACAAATAGGAACCTCTTGGAAGAACAGGAAAAAGGAACATTTCTAGCAGTAGCATATCCAAACAAAATGGATGATAAATACTAGCCAAAACTTGACATGCAAAAGAGTATCAGCAAATGCGAGAAATGCAAAAGGTCATGCAGAATGCTTGCTTTGAAGAATAAAGATTCTCCAAGTCAATGAGTCGATTCAGCTTTATTTGCTAGGACTCTTTCGGCTGTTTTTCTCCTCGATCCCCGATTGTGAGAACCTTTTTCTGAGGACTTCAAGGACCTCTTCCATTTTGACATCCTTCAGCTTAAGCAATACCATAGCATGGTATAGCAAATCGGCCATTTCAGATGCGGCACGAGTCTTGTCCTCGTTCTCAAGCAATGTCTGGACAAGTTCCCCAGCCTCTTCTCTGCACAATGCATAATCAAAGGGAAGAAGTAGATTAAATCCATCGCTTAGAAACAAAATACAGAAAGGGCAAGAGTTTAGCTGGTATTAAATTATTCCATGGATTATTAACACAGTACTGATAATGATATTGTTTCCATTCACATGAATTATTTATACATATTTCCTTACTGGTTTATGAACTTTTCACAATTAACTATATAGTGATATCAATGAAACAAACTCCACCACCGTGCCAAATTGTGGCTTATCAGTACAGCCATAGTAAAAGGGATCTGGAGCAGAGATCCATCACCAATGCCTCACAACTGGAGTCTACGGGATTTCTCATAAGCCTCTGATGCAAATTGCTGAACCATCAGCCTAACGATGCAACCTTTTTCAATTCATGGGCCTTGTATATTTGTGTCCAAACTCCTATTGTACTCTTTCCTAACACATGTTGCTGTTTTTCCAGTTCAACAAATCAACTTATCAAGTCACTGACATAATATGATACACTTAGTTCAACAAATCAACAAAATCTTATTATACCCCTCACCTCTCCCTCTCTACCCTTTTAACACAACTTTAATGCCTTTCCCTCAAAATTCCTCTATCAGATCATACTATAACAATGCATGAATTAGATCAGCTTGGTCTATGGTTAACCCAAGAATAATAAAAATAAATAAATACCACATGAAAGTGTTAACAAGAGACAAGCATAAACCAAAAAAGTCTACCAAAACCACTTGAAAATATATAAAAATAAATTAACATTATGAAATAATTTTTGGGTATTAATGATTCTTATACAAAAATTTTAATTGTCATCTGTCATACTGGGAAATAAATTTTCTTTGCAGTTGATTGTCAAAAAGTTATAGCTTATATCGATCAGCTATAGTGTGTCTCTGCTGCAATCAGGTTATATATGTTAAGATAGAGAAGAATATTAGATAACAACAAGATAATCAGGATGTACATGTCATAGAAAACTGTCAATGCTAGTCAACCATGTTCAGAACGAACAAATCATATATTCTAAAATGCACCTGGTCCACTTATAAATTAATTCAGAAACTTACTAGGGAATCAAACACAGATTCCCAGTGAATAATAATTGAACTTTTACTTGGAAGCACAGTCAATTGACAGAAGTGAAATATGTTGGTACATAAACTGTTACCCAGGTCTCTTGTATTAAAGCATGATGACCAATAATACATAACATGTTATATATAATACATAACAAATTATATATTAAAGCATGACTATTAAGACTTCATAATAACTTATCTGTCCCCTATATTATATATAATACTTCCACATTATTACTAAATCAACAAAATCAAACACCTGTCCTGCATCACACCCCTCCCCAAAAGAGAACACACATGATTTATCTCATAATTCTCATATTTTCTTTCATTGAGTGAGCTGCTTCTTACGTTTCCGTAACATTTGGCTAATGAAAGCCAACTCAACTCATTCCATATTTATTCTCATTTAAGCTACTCAGAAAATAAGAATACAAATATATAACACACACACACACACACACACACATAGAGAGAGAGAGAGAGAGAGAGAGAGAGAGAAGTCTGTCACCACTAAATCAGAAACTACTAATCCATTTGGTCCTTAATATTAGCTAGAAGCTAAAATTAAATCCACAACAACTGCAAAATAATCAACAATTTCTCATGGTCTATTCCTTTTTTTCTTCTTTTTTGCAATAGTAATGACATATATAGATCAAAGGAAAAGCACAAATTAACAGCATATTCAATCAAACAACTAGCAGGTTCCTTACTACTTTAAACTAGGTCAAAACTTTTCAAGTCAGCTTGCTTTCACATTCTGAAAGTGAATCAACCACTTGACAGACACTGACATGACAGTTTGGTCACAGTGTAGCTGATGTGAATAAATTTTAACGTCACACAAAATACTAATAAGAAAAGACAACAACCAGCCATGGTGCCTTGACAATTTGCTGTTGGCTACAGAGATTTTTCTCCTGCACTCAATTCAGGGAAATATAACTGGTCAAACTAAGATGAGTTTGTAAAGTACTAGTCTTTGTTCCAGAATTAAGTTAAAACTTATTCCCAAGCATGGCAGCATGCACACACTGTATACTCAATTTTACAGGACCTTTAGGAGCTGTGTATTTGAGAGTAGTCAACACATGCCAATGCGATTGAAACAACGAAATCTCATCCATACCTGACTTTGGAGCAAAGCAACTGTTCATCAAGAAATAGCTTCTTTGTCCATGATGGTTTCCCATTAGGCAATGAATCAATTTCAAGTTTACGATGTGAAATTGTAGCCTCCAGCGAATACAATGTCGTAGATGCTAGCCGATCTTGTTTGGACTATCACAAACCTTTTAGTTAGATAAAATTTGACGACCATATGCCAAGAACTATGAGAGAGCAGATTGCAACCTCTTCTTGAATTGCTTTAACTAAAATAAAAAACTAAAGGACAAACTAAATGCAGGATATAATAAATCACAAGGAAGATCAAGATCACAAACCTCTGGTTCATCCAAAAGATCATAAACTGATGAATAATAACAGGTCTCAGCTCCAGTGTGGCAAGTTGGTCCAACAGGCTTCCCTAGATATATAATCTCAACAATGGCAGCAAATGTTAGACCTCGATAAAATCCCAAATCAAGAAAATTAACAATAGATCTTTTCTTTTCTATCAGAAGCTTACTGAGTCACGATCACAATCTAGAAAAATGTCATGGACATTGATGAAGTTCATCGAGGTCTCTCCCTTTGTCCACAAAGATGATCTCGACCGGCTGTAGAAAGTTGCCTTCTGAGATGCAATGGTCAATGCAAGCGCTTCTCTATTAGCAAACCCCTGCATCAGAATGGCTCCAGTGTCCACATTCTGTGCAATAGCGACTACCAATCCTTTGCTGTCCCACTTTACGCTGTCCAATAAGCTCTCCACCTAATAGATTTGTGGCCACACCAATAAATCAATGTAACATTTTCTTGGGTTGAAGAAACCTAAAATTCATGCTTATTATTACCAAAAATGTATTTTTTTAGTCTTTTCCTTTTCTTTGTGCGCAAATTAAGCTGCAACGAAACAAAACGAAAGACTCTTCAAGTTTCCTACTACTGACAATGGAAGATTCAATTTTTTACTTAAAAACAAAACAAAAGAACGAAAATTCGAAAGGCATATCTAACAACCCAAGAGATAGTCACACAACATAAGATATCGGGATCAAATAACAAAAGAATGAAAATTCGAACGGCTAAAACCTAAAGATAGCTCTCAACCTGAAGCGATTGAGACCACTAGCGTTGGACCCTAAAACTGAAATTCCACTAGGAGAAGGGTATGGAAATCAATGGTTCCAGTGATTACCTTAGGGGTAAGCTTTTCGGCTGCAAATTGAGACAATCGCTCGGACGACGAAGCGGCGATCTTCAAGCAACTCTTCTGGTTCCAGCAATACCTCCGACTCGAAAGGCGGCGATCTCCCGCGCCACAGCTCAAGGAAGAGAGACGGACGAGAGAAGCAGCCGCCATGGCAGCTCCTCCCCGACCAAAAAAATTGGGCAGAACACGAGACCGGAAATGGGACCTAAAGAAGCGCTATAGTCGAGCCCCCCTCCGACGAATGCTCCGCACATCGTCGACGCACGAATCTTCATATAAGCATCGTTATCATACGCGAAGCCGACGGTTACCCGTAATCTTGATGATCCCCAGCGCGCATGGAAATGGAACCTTGGTCTATTTAGGTTTAATCCGGGTCGAGCCCGAATCAATTAAAGAAGTCGGGTTTGATTAAGATTAGTAGGTCATTTATCGCACCTGTCGACCCGACATTGCAGATCGGAGACTCGAATCAATTTAAGCGGTCCGGTTTGGTTCGAATACCACGCACGTCGCAAAGATTAGCCGCACCCGTCGAACCAAAATTGCGGTTCGGATAGCCTTCTTGGGCTAGTGATGAAATATGCCAATCAACGCATTAGATCGAACGCAGGTCGATCCTACGGCCGATGCTTGTTTAGATTTCCTATAAAATCCGTTTAATATAATGACCCCCTTCCTCCTTTGCAGCCGCAATCAGACGCGCGGTCCAAGAGTCAGACTCCGGTTCTAGGGTTCGTGGTGTTGCCGTCGCCGCCGAAGGCTTCGACGAGATGGTGAGTTCTTCTCGACGTCTTCACTCTTGTATCTGGTGATTTTTCTTTGCTTGTATTAGTGGCTTAAATTTCCGCATCATTGTCGACTTCTCTGATTCGTTCTTGATCATTAGGTTCTACCGAACGACATCGATTTGCTCAATCCCCCCGCGGAGCTTGAGAAGAGGAGGCACAAGCTCAAGCGTCTCGTTCAATCTCCCAATTCCTTCTTCATGGTGATCCCCAATTTTTTTTCGTCAAGTTCCTCAATTTCTCCTTCCTTCACGTAATCTTAGCTTCTGATACATGTTTTTTGTTTCTCGTTTATTTTCTTGAAGGATGTGAAGTGTCAAGGATGCTTCAACATGTAAGTTCTGCATCTATTAAGTGTAGTTGATGGTGTATCTTGTATCCGTTTGACCATTATGGTTATGCGTCGTTCTTGAACCGATCGTTGCTTGAATGTTGCAGAACTACGGTGTTTAGCCACTCGCAGACTGTGGTGGTTTGCGGAAACTGCCAGACCGTTCTGTGTCAGCCAACCGGCGGGCGCGCCAGGCTCACTGAGGGTTGCTCTTTCCGGCGGAAGGGCGACTGAGCCTTCTCTCTAATCTTTCTTTCTTTCTTATGGCAAATTTTTTTACCAAACTTGGAATTAAAATTATGCTATGTTTTGGTATTATCTTTGTCTAAGTGGTCAGCAAGGACAAGATATAATGCATATGATGTTTTATTGGAGTGCAGAGTAGAATTTGTTTGTTCCTTTTTCATATAGTAACTTGAATGTGCTTGCAGAATTATGGCCGTCATGATTGGATTGCTACAACAATTGTTAGCTTTTATTATTTGTCTTGGTTGAATGAGTAAAACCAACATGTCACCATATATTTATTTTGTATGCTCAAAAGTTATAAGCTACTTTTTTCCCATAATATATACTGCATTCATCATTAATTTTCTTAATTTTGAAAGCAGTAAGTGTTAGTCCCTCTTATTTGACCATTCGTCTTCTGATATCTGCATAACTACACTGCATGGTGGTGGTAATTTCAAGGGACCTGTTAGGTGTAAACAATTTTGTGCCGTGTCTCGGGGCCGACGCGGCTTGGTTCGGGGTTGAATGACGGGGATCTTTGCTCGAGGTCTCTCGAGATTGCCGGAGCGACTGACCGCGCGGACCAGATCACCGTTGGATTCGTCGGGATGTCCTGGGGGGAAGGCGTCCTCTCCTTACTTGCACACAGGTCGAGTCGGAAGCTCGGCCCGACCCCTCCGACGATCAAGTTAGTGATGTAGAGTGGAGTTTGTTATCTATGTTGGTGTTCTCCTCCTTTTTCGTTTGGAATGCGGGGGTATTTATAGGGAAGCTTACTGTAGTTTGATGTGCCCGCCTGCAGGAGGCAGGCTGATAGCGTCTAAAATGGGCGTTGGCGTGGCGTGAAGGACCGAGTCTGAACAGGTCGTTAATGGGTCTCGGTGCGTGTTCTGGTTCGTTTGACCAGGTTCCGCCGGGTCGTTCGAGGTGTGAGGTGTCGTCCGGGATAGCTGACGTCTGCGCGAATCTTGTCGCCATTTATTACCCCCATCATATTCCCCCCCCTCGAAGGAAGTTATGTCGTAAATGGGAGGGTCTGAGGCATGGCTTTGCCTTTGAAGGGTCGAGTGTGCAGCGGTGAATCCGGGTAGCGTGCGGCCGAGGAGTACACCCAGAAGATTAGACCGAGCGGAGGCCGTGGTCTCGGGAAGCATGGAGCCGAGGAGCACGACGCAGGCGAGCAGGCCGCGTAAGCGTGTCTCGGGCAACCTGCGACCGAGGAGCACGACGCAGGCGGGCAGGTCGCGAAGGCGTGTCTCGGGCAACCTGCGGTCGAGGAGCACGATGTAGGCGGGCACGCCGCGCGGGTGTGTCTTAGGGAGCATGGAGCCGAGGAGCACGACGTAGGCGGGCAGGCCACGCAAGCGTGTCTCGGGCAACCTACGGTCGAGGAGCACGATGCAGGCGGGCAGGCCGCGCGGGTGTGTCTCAGGGAGCATGGAGCCGAGGAGCA